TTCGCCGATTTGGGCAGTCGCTCAGTCCAAAGAGCATTACCAGATAGCCACAGCGCCCGTCATTTATGTCAAAGCCAGTGTCCGAGTAGCGAAGAAGAAAAGGGCACAGGAGACGGGACAATCCAAAGAGACTAGTGAATATTCAGTCGCATACAGTCATATGACTTTGAACATTCAACCAAATGACAAATGACCCATTGATGTCAGATTAACGTAAGAGCAGCCAAAGAACTTTCAGCTTCTGCCGTTATTTTATCGAACCATAGAACAATAACGTTTCCAAATGGCTCCCTGGGGTCATGGTGGCAACCTCCAACCTGACAATTCAGGGTTATCACACTTGACTCCGAGCACAGTGAATAATTAACCGAATTATATTCAGCACTGAGATCTTTAATTAGACAAGTGTGTAATTACTGCCACACTAATGAATTTAGTTCATTACAAAGCACCGCGTCGTGGCGGGTAATGAATTGTTCGTCACTTGAAAGTATATTATTTACCATGACCGCAGAGCTTCAGACAAACACGGAACAGTTATCAGAAAGAAGGACTAACAAGGTCTCCCTTGTCCAAATCCTCACTCTCGATAGCATTAAATACACAGATACTTGACTTACTCCATATATTGCGGAATGTACATATCCTGGTCATACAAATACGTAAAATAAAGTACAATGAGTAAATATTTTCCATCACTGGGCCGTCAACAAAAAAGAACAACACGGACCGATGCTCCCCAACTTTGACAAGTAGCAATGTTATTCAAGTTACAGTCAACCAACAGGAAGCTGGTATGACGCACTGGAAACATTGTTTACATGTTACATTCCGGGTCTGTCTTCACCTAAAACCTGCCGGGATTAATATATGGTTTAGGCTATAAACAAAAAAATATATAGATATATATACAAGAAAAGTAATAATCAAATATTCCAAACAAAACTTTTACTTTTGGTTTTGCTTGTAATATAATTCCAGGGTTATGCTGTCTGTAGGTAACTGCATTGCCATCGTGTCAATTATTAATAATAATTTGTGTGACTGAACACAATCATGTTTATTTGAAAGCTAGAACTTCAGCAAATGACGTTATGCTAATAAGCGACTCGTAAATGATGTTTGGGGCTCGTGTGTCGGTCACATGACCTGTTGAGACCTTATGATAAGGCGATGGGGTGCGTAGTTCATTCTGAACCGTTTTTTTTGGTCAGATAGTGTTTAGAGATGCACACTTTGGGTCATGTGGGGGCAGACGGCAAGCTAGCGGGCCTGAAATCGGTCCCGAAGCCTTTGGGTTTGCACAGCGCGCTGCCTGGATAAATCAAACGATTGATTAAATGCTCCGGCACTCCCCATAAAATCAGTTCCGTTGATTTAGGCATTTGTACCCTTTTGTAATAAAAACAAAGCCATCAATAGCAGAAAAACAACTGCCCTAATTAATATACGCGAGCGTGGTAAAGTCCACCTGTGATGTTTAGATGGCATAACAACTGTCTTGTGCTCTGGCGTTAAGTACGGCTCGTTTTGGGCACTACTGTCCCAAAAACGGGAACTTTGATAAGTGACCTTTGCACTCATCTCATTGATTTGCGCCGACCTTTTCAGTTTCCAGGGAGCTACACGCTCAGAGGGTATAAAAGTAGAAGTTTTACCGTGTGTAAAATAAAAAAAAAGGAACTTTCCCCACTTATATCTTAATGTATCTGTCTTCCACCACAATCGATCAAACGCGTGGCTTCAAACGGATCAGAGATCCGGGCCGAAAGGAAATGTTCCGGAAACGTCTCATTAGCAGAACAAAGCAGTCGGCAGGAACGTGTTTCTCCACATCCTTTGTGCCCCCTTTCTGCCAGGGCAATTACTACGGTGTCAGGCAACAGAATTTTTTTAAGGGGGGGGGGGGTGGATGATTCATACAAAGGGGCTGACCTTATCATTAGCCAATGGTGTGTTCTGAATCGGTGAGTGATGGGGGGGAGGCACAAAGGGGGCCAATCAGCTTTCAGCTGAGGCCAGTGCCCTTGTGGCCCCGCCCCTGTCAGACAGGCCAAGTGACTATAAGTTGAAGTGACCAGTCAGAGGCAGCCCTCTGCTTTTATACTCAACCACCGAAACTCTGAACATCCTCTGTCATTTTTAATGGCTTTTTTTCTCCTTCTGCAAATTCATAAATGCCGTTTCCCTTGTACAGCATGACCAGCTTACATTTACCCGCTTGGATATAAAGTTATAGGGGCCAGAAGCAGGGGCGCGGTGGGGGGGCATGGATATCCTGGCAGTCACAGGGGGCTCAGCACTTTATAGGGGCCTTTGAATATGTAAAATTATACATAAAATTAGGTAAGGGGGGGGGGGGTGTCCCAGAATGTCTAGCTATGCTCCTGGCCAGAAGTGGGACTCAGCGGTGGGTCGAACACCCTATACCGCGACGCGTGCTGCCCCTGGACGATGCGGACGCCTCCCATAACCGCACAAGAGCAGGATCAAAGGCACGAGGATCCGCCATGTCGGTCACGCTGATGTTTCATTTAGGGCTCACAGAAAGCCCTGCATCGCTGACTTTAATTAGACGTATCATTTACTGTTTACTGTATTATCTGGCTTCTGGTAATAACCTTTCCCAGTGTTAATGATCTTAAAATGACTGGAATAAAAAATAAATAAATAAATAAATAAACTCCGTAGACTCCAGCCAGGTTCTCGAACGTCCCTCGAACATTCAGTATGACGAAATACCGGCATTTACCGTCTCTCCTGGGCCGGTGAACCCAAAGCTGGGGTGGAGACGGACAGCCCGCAATAGCAGGCGATACAATAGGTATACCATAGTAACCTGGGCCGGTTACTATGGAGAACAGGGTCGTTGCCACGGAAATAGAGGAAAATGTGTAACGAAGCAGAGGTCACATGGGTAATAGAGGTTAAAGGTGGCATGAGTGCGCCATAGTGCTATTGTGACCATGAGGGCTTGGCACAGAGACACCGACACAGGCTAAGTGCCAGCCCACTGCTTATCGATTGGAAGGTGACATACCAGGAAAGACATCGGGGCCTTTACCAGACAGCCCCCCCCACAACCCAGACTTATGGAATGGCAGTTCCCATAATTCCCGGCACCGTGAATGGGCATTGTGAGGCTGCGAGCAAGTCAGTCACTCGCCGGTGTTATCCCGAGGGTAAACCATGACCATCTCACACATGGAGGTGGATCCGATAACCTGCCGCTCCTGAAGTGACTCTTATTCGTGACTTTTATTCGCGACTTTTACAGCCCCAAAAATCAAACTCCGAAGGCAAGCATTAGGAAACTCTCTCTCGGGTGGAATTTGGGGCGGGGGAAGAGAAACAGCTCTGGAAAAACAGGAACGTTTTTTTTTTTTTTCCACAGAAATAAAACCATGATTCAGGGGGAAAAAAATAAAATAACAATGACAAAACAAGGCTGACTCACCATTGCTGGTGGGGAGCGGCATGATGCAGGGCTTAAAGAGGACCTGAGGGAGGCCTGTGACAGGCACTGCTGCGGCCCCCACCTCCGCAGAGGCCGGGTAACATAATAGCACGGAGGTCGCTAGCTAATTACTGATCGCTGGCTGTTTAAGGAACAGAAGGAAAGTACCAGAGGCCTCATAAACAGCCAGCAAACACCAGCGGCACCAGTACACATTTCAGCCAATAACAGAGCTCGTTTGTTTACTAGCTGAGCCATAGGTGCTCATTCCTAGCAAGCTCTCACGGGGGGGGGGGGGAGAGAGTGCCCCCCAAACGACTTTAAAGCCCCCGCTTCCGCTACGTGCCACAGTGTGCGAAATCGATAGTCCTCCCCTCCGGGACAGAGATGACCTGTGCGGACATCCCGTGGTCGGTCGATCGATAGGATCGCACAGGTGCCCCCCCTCCCCACCGTCGCCCCCACTCAGGGCTGACTCATCAGCAGACGCTAATTCACAGGAGTCACAGGGACACTCGCCCCGTAAGTACCTGCTCTGCCCGGAGTCCTGATCTGGGGGCGGCACTCCTGAAATGAGCCGTACCTTTCCTGCTGACCGCGTATCAGCCCTAAAACCCCCCACGCCACACAACTGTGCGCAGGCATACATTTACATTTATTCACTGTACACTTTTATCCAGTGTGATGTACGTTTTCTTTTTTTTTGAGAAAAAACTGTCACTGGAACAACCTGGGGGTTAAGGGCCCAATGATGACATCACTCTGCTGACCCCAGGATTCGAACCAGTGACCTTCTGATAACAGACACAGCATCCCAACCTATTTCAAACCCCCCATGCAATTACAATTAGAACATTACCATTAAAGCTTTAATATAAAAAAACAAAAATAAAAAATGACGATTAAAGGACAAATACAGTGTAAAGGTGGCAGAGTCTGCACTGAGATACTGCAAACATCACTTTTGTGGCGCATTATAGAATGTTATGCCTTAAAAAAATACTATTAAACTTACACTACACAAATAAAATTCTGCATGACTGTATACCTAAGGAAGACTGGTAATCCCACTCTGAAATTAAACTTTACGTTTTAGTTCAGTAAACATCTCATTAACAACTCAGCAGTATAACATTTTATTTATTTTTTTGCAAAATGGAGGCTTGTACAAGTAAAATCAATATTTCCATTTCCTTATCATAGCACTTTCTCGGAAAACAAACTCTAGGCACTGGGTTTACCCACAATATAAACGTTACATTTAGGCCTAATTTATTTAATAGATGCTTCTATCCAAAGCGACATACATCTTTTTTTCTTTCTGTGGCAAAAGGAGGGTTCACACAGTGCTGAAGCAATTGGGAAACCAGTGGCCATCTGATCTCAGACGCGGCATCCTAACCCACCGAGCCACACAGAAACCACTTATTAGCCGAAACCCATTGTAAGTTCTGCATTTATGCTACAATAGTCAGACAGACCAGTAGTCTCCCTATTACCGCATGGTTATTTATGGCAATAACAGCCTTGGTTTTACCGTCGCTGTCTGCCAACTCCAACTCCACGTTGATAATGGGCCCTGTGCTTTCTTGATTAACCACTGGAGTAGATCTCAGCGAAAGGAGCAGGAAACAGGGCATGTTGTCTTCCTGCCGATTGTAGCGTGTGGAGTAAAAGGAGTGCGGGAGCGTACGTATCGTTTATGAAATGTGATATTGATTTTCACTGTCAGGTAATCTGATTTTATAAATATTTTATTTATGGTGTATTCCCTTCCCGGATCGAGATAGCGGCACGCTCGCTGCTTTTGTGAATTGTAATATTAGTGCGCTACATACAAAGTCACACTGGCGTCTTCTCACGCCTCCTAAAAAAATCTCCCGATTTACTTAAGCAGCTCCAAGTATTAACTGTCAGCGCGTCGCGCCCGTTCTACGTAAAAGGTTATTTGCAGGGGGTTCACTGTACCTGCCGTGTAGGTGTGCTGATTTCAATATACATGGAACATTCCTGTTGGTGTGTTTATTAGATAAATTCTTGGCACATATACAGAACAAACGAATGGAATAAAATTAAGTGATTTCCCTTTGTTCGTTAACGTTGAATAATAATTTAATTGTTTATCGATGTTTCATACATTTCCTGAAAAGGTTATTTGTCAAATAATCCAAAGACGTCCTCACAACAGAGAATGGGCACAGCTTGGCGACGATCTGAAGAGGTTTTCTGATGAGACAGATCTAAGGACCCATCTGATATTATTGCTCAGTCTGAATTTTTACCAGAGAAGGTCATTACGTTGCAGGATCACTGTAAATCATCCCTCTAGTCCGTGAATAGGTACTTGATAGAAGCAATAATCGCAAATAACAAAAAAAATATAACTATCCTTTTACATTAGTGTGGTGCATTCTGGGAGTTAAAGGCCATCGGGCCAAGGGGCACCCCTGTGTGTACTCACTGACCACTAAGTGGTATCACAGAGGCATGTTGAAGTTGCCCGGAGAGAGCAGTATAGTTTCCCGTTAGCTGTAATTTCCAGTACAGGGTCACTATAATTAAGAGAGGTGTTACGAGCTTGTAGTGTGTGCATGCTGGGTCAAAGGTCAGATTTAGATATGAGTGCACTGGCATGCAAGATCGGTGAATGCAAATGGCCCGTAAGTTACAGTAACACTGCTCTTAATGAACATTACGGACTATTTCCAGCTGCATTTGGGACAATGTTGCAGCTTTTAGCCCTTTCTCCCAAATCCTGTAACAACATATGACTGAGAACAGGGCGGAGTCGATCTTTAGCGGCAGACTTTTGATTGAGCACGTGCGGAGCGTGTTAAATTGCATCCTTTCAATTTGGCAGGGAGACTGTGATGTTATTTTAAGACATATCAGCTGCTACTGTAGCTTAGCCTCCCAAAGTCTCTGTTGGCAGGCTGATCAGTGTTGTCCTCATCTCCCGCTTTCCACTGACGGTGCGTTATACGCCTCTATGGGGTCCGATAAAGGGAATTAAAGTCGGCTAATTGGCCAATAGGCAGCCAGGACACACTAGACAGTGAATTATAATTAATGGAGCATTAAAAAGAAAAGCAACGTTATGCGTGTGCTTGTTTACTTTTTGTTCATAACGATGTTGTGTGGCTCAGTGGGTTAGGATGCTGTGTCTGTCACCAGAAGGTTGTTGGCTCAAATCCCAGAATCGGCAATATGGTTTCACCATCGGGCCCTTGAGCATCTCCCCCAGTTGCTCCAGGGATTGGCTGAAAATGGCGCATGTTGCTTCAGATAAAAGTGTCTGGTAAGTTTAAAAAAAAAAAAATGATTAGCCTTGCATTTTAAAATGCAAATAGACAAACTATATAACTAAAAGACAAGCAGTAAAGGATGGTTGAGAAAGTGTAGACACCTTCCAAGGTCCCCCTGGGTGTGTCTGGCTGCTCATCACCATGAGATAGACAGTAAAAGCCCCCTCACATCCTCCTCTGTCACATTCTCACTTAAAATGAGGGACAGAAAGAGAGACCGGGGGCTTGTGGGGAGAAGCAGCCCCCAGCGCCTCAGTAGGCTGCCTCCCACCCCACCCCCGTCGCCCCTGCCGTCAGCATACACCGAGAGCTCTCCAGGAGGGAGATTTATACTCCGTAGCGGGTAAATTTATGAGCGACAGCTCCAAAGCAGAGCAGGCAGCCAAAGAAATGGCTTGAGAAGAAAAAAAAAAAAACAATCTGATTTGAAAGATTTATTTCAATATACAACGAAGGGGCCACGGTACGCTCAATCTGTTTATTTGAGCGAGACAATCATTTCAGGCCCAGGAAAGCCCATCGGTAGATAAGGCTGAATCACATTTAAGGGCCAGCCGCATTAGAAGTGACTGCTTCTGCTTGTTCCAATTCGCTTCTGCCTTCGCGGGAAGACAATGCATCACGTCTTCCTTTGTGCGTCTCAGGGACGCGGCCCCGGTCGTTCAGCCGGACGGCGACGCCGTAATAACCTAGCCGAAGCGGCGATGCGCTAACGCTCACGGGAAGCATGTTTTACTGCGCAGGAATGTTGCCTTCTCCAGCAGTCCGGTGCACAAGGCTTGCGGCCAAAAGGGCTCGCAATCTCCGTGTGATTTTTTTTTTCTTACAAAGAAATCGGCATGATTAAAAAACTGAGAGGCAGCATGAATCAGGAGCCGGGGTACGGTGATGAGACGAGAATAACGTGGGGTTGCTAACGCTGTGGAACGACCACACGCGAGGCCGGTGTCTGTGAGCTAGCGCTAAGGGGCGCCCCTCTTTAAAAACAGGTAAGGAAGAACCCATTTCACTGTCACCCCAATATGTGAACCTATGACTCGGTTCTGAAAACCCCTTTCAGCCAGACGTGGTATCCCTCCCAGCGTTATACGATCCACAGGCCCCCAGGTTTAGATTTACAGGTATTTTGGCCACCCTGCGAATACTGACCTTATTAAATGGGATAAATCCATTAGGGAGAAGGAAAAAAATTAGATTCAGAGGCACTATCTCAATTGAGCCGACCTATCGGGCCGCTCGCTGCCAGGAAGGGTAGCAGGACCTGTATACGAGATAAAGCCGGCTCATTAATCCTGTGGGAATTAGGGCCCTCCTGCTTCGGACTCGGTAGGTAACGCAGGAGCCAAGCATCAGGATCAGCTGGGCTGGCTGCGAAACGGATCAGCACCAAACACCCCTCCCCCGAGGCAGGAGAAATGCACAGGGCGAGCAAATGCATTCATGCGACATGGAGGTGGCCACGGCCACCCTCAGAAAAAGGCCGACACGTGAGACAGATGACTGCAATTAGCCAATACGGGAAGATGCAAACACATATGGGCGCCCCCTAGAGGGACGCGGGAGGAAGGCTGGCCGGCAGCCGAAGGAATCGGTATGATGTGGCCTCAGGATTCTGTAGCTGAGTGCTGAACTCAAACAGGTACATAGATTTAAACTGAAACCGGCACCGGAACTGGGCCGATGCAACCGGGAGCTGGAGGAGTCCCTAGAGCCATGGACAGGGCCGGCAGGCTCAGGATCAATTTATCATGCAACGCTCTGTGAATCCCATCATCTCTCATTTGCTCCCAAACTAAGCCACGCCCCTGATCCAACCCCCTTTCAAATTACACACACAACAGTGTCACCCCAAACATTTAATGGATACACAAGGGGGAGATCCTCTAATTACAAACATAAGAATATGTAAGGAAGGGTGACGAGGATGGCAACAGACTTGGATTTTCTAGAACTTTTCCCGGAGTGAATACGTGTGTGGCCAGCAGCAACACCACAGTATCTGCCTCAAAGATTAATTGCAGATGCAATAAACACAATCAGAAGAGAAGTGTAATCAAGCACAGCGAGGTATTGCCTTCAAGTTGTCTTACAGCGTCTCCACACGCCCTCGTCAGTGAGATGGATTGCCCGGGACGTAGAAATGAAACTCGTGTTTCCTTAATTGAATTATCATAATGCAAAGGGGCAGGAAATGCTCAAGTGATGCATCTCCTGGGCATCTATGCAGCACTGAGGCTGGAGGCCCCATCGGAGAGGAGGGACAGCGCAGGCCCAGACGGCCATGGGAGTGTCAATCTCTTTTGGGAGATGGTGTTTGCCAGAAAACCCCGCCAGCCTCCAGCTAAATAGGGCTAGCCAGCAAACGAGCAGCTTTAACCCATTCGGTGACAATAGGGAGCACGGAAACAGCTGCGGTACAATTAAACCACCGGCCTAAAATCATTATAGATATGATTATTTAACTCGTTATTCTGGGGATCTCGCCAGACAATCGAATTATCCGGCCGGCTCGACAGAAAGAGCCGCGGGCAGTAGAAACACAGAATGATGCCATTCGGACTGCGATGAGCTCCGCGCCCAAACGGGGGGCCCCCTCGCCATGCTCCCCCACCAATTCAGGCAGAGCCAGCATGCCAAAAATAGAAGCCAACTGGGGGGAAATATATAAATAAATATATGGGAATGGAGAGCACGGTACGGCAACCGCGGGAAGAAACCTGATGCGAGCCAATCTCCCGCTGATCGATGAACGGCGCTCTGTGTTTAAACAGCAGCGGGTTCCGGCGGTCAGGCTAACACACGCCTGGCCCCGCCCACGCTGCCGAGACTAACGGGCCACTCCATCACTCGAACCGTACCTAGATATCAGCCTTGGGGCTCCAGTTTGATGGAAACCAGTCTCTACGGCTCGCCAAGGTTGTCTCCGTGACTGAGGGGAGGGGGGGGCGACGTATGACGTAGCTGGTTAGGCAGCTGTGATCGGAAGGTCCAAATCCCAGGGTGGACCGAGAAATTTCGCTGCTGGTCCGCTGAGCAGGGTTTCAGGGACCGTCTAATCCCGCGTTCTTCAATGGAAAAACGACATTTGGATAAAAGTGTTCGCTAAGTAAAATAGAAAAACGTCTCGCCGGCAGGGTGGTCATTCACGTAAATATAAGGCATCCAGTCCTGTTACAGCGCAGCTCAGAAGATACAGGCATGTGGCGTGTTCTCATGCATGCAGACTGCACCGCCAGGGGCCACGTGGTGTGGTGGGAAACGGTGTGGAAACAGCTCATCGTGAGATTCTGCGGTCGTCACAATTCCGGCAAAGATGGCTGCTACAAAGGAATTGCGACTCCTCCAGAATGGAGCCATTTATTTTCTCTAGGGAATCTCGTCCGTGTGAGTAACTGTGCCCATTCATTTTTCATTAGGTTTTTTTTTCCCCTTTCTCCTGAGTTCCTGGCACTTTTGAGACTGAACATATTTCCGTAATAAACAGGGGCTCAAATGGAGCGTTTTCAGGTGAAGCATCGGGGCAAGAAGACTTGGGTAGGCCCACTTCCAGCCTCTCAAGAGGTCCCCTGGGATGGCATATGGACTGAGGAGGGCAGGGCAGTGATCAAGCGCTTCTCTGTGTCTCCCCCCATATCAGCCCCATCTTCTGCTCACTGCACAAATGTGGCTCAAGTGTTTCAGTCTCGCCGTCCAGACTGCTGGACCAGCCCATGTTGACCCAGGTCCCTGTTGACACCTACCACCCAGATGTTTCCGTTTGGAGGCTCAATGCAGGACCAAGAGAGAGAGATCTAGAGTGACTGACAAGCCATTAAGAAGAAAAAGTCAAACTGTGTGGCAAGTGCTATGGACACAGACTATCCCCACGGAAGTGGAGGGGAAGTCTGTCATCTGGTCTGGTTAGCATGTGATTTTTAACCAATCACATTTCAGCCTCACTCAGGGGACCGGCAGCAAGAGGAAATCCAATGACACACAGAGGTGCAAATGCATCAGGGACCTGCTGCCATAACCCAGAAGTAACCTTTGAGTACAGCAAAGGGATTTACGTTTTTGGCTGGAGAATAACAAAAAAAAACTCATCCATCCATCCATCTTCCATAACCATTTATCCAGCACAACAGCAAAGGTTATTATGCTGTACACCATTTTCAGCATATAAGCAGAGCTGAAAATAACAGTGGCCCTTCCCCTAGCGATGCGGGCATGTGCAGCATTTCAGGGTACGTACGCATGCTGATGTGCTAATATAGGTATAGAAAAGCAGCATGGGGTGGGGGGGGTTGTGTGTAGGCCTGCACACGCGAGACAAGCTCTTAATTACACGCAGCCTCCACAGATGTGTGCTCTCTGTGATCACAGGAGCAGTGGGCGGGGCTTGTGGTGACCATGGGAAGGGAGAAGGCCACGACCAAGGTCGGGGAAAGAGAGGACCGAACCTGGAATGTACGTACGTACAGTCGTAGCCGAAAAACAAAGGATTTCCCTGCAGAGGAACAGCTGCTGGCGGAGCGAATGCACAATGAGCCTTCAGAGGGCGTCGCCGGGCCTGATTTATAAGGCTGTCACGGGCATTAAGGCGTTCGCACCGGCTGTCCGAATGGACACAACAGAGCCGGTGTCTGGCGCGGGCCCAAAGCAGCTGTAAAGGTGAGGTGGTTAAGGACAGCCAGGGATAGGCTGCGTCTCAATGTACGTGCGGGGAAACGGGGTCTGGCGCGCCCGCCTCCGCAGAAGCGCTAATGGCAACAACATCGGAATTTCAGCCGGCTATATTGACTTCCTAATCGGACGGCTTGCAGCGTTTAACGTATCATTTTGAAAAGAGAAGCTAGCAAGGGTCTTTGACAGCTACCGGAAGAAGGCACAGCCACACGTCACGCTAGTCTTAACGCGTTTACACGCCGATGAGTGAAATGAAGCAAACAGACTTCCGGGGGGCGCTGTCACAAACACCGGCTGCCCTCATCTGCCCCCCCCCCCCCCCACACACAGCTTGCAAGAGATACAACTGTCAGTGTCACCCAAGGTCTGATTAAGCATTTAACATCACGCATGGCTTACGCCCTTTCAGATCGGTGCCCTGACAGCCCGGAAAAGGCTGTGAGCTCACTGTGTCAGGGAGGCTTCAGACAGCTATGAAACGGCCGGGGTTCCCGGCGCGTCTAGAACTGAATAGATCACAAATGGGTCATATTTCTGAGTGACGGCGCAAGGGGGCCACCAGGATAACCAGCATCTGGGTGTTTCACATCTGCCTGTCCCTGTCTGCGATTTAACAAAGGATCAACACTGACATGCCTTCTCTTGCACGGGGGTCTCCTGCCTCATCTGGGCTTTCCCATACCCATTCCAGAACCGCTCGGGGAGGAAGATTTGGTGTCCTCTGATACACGGCACTTTGATCACCACTCTCCCGCTATAAATAGCCGACGGACGTCCTCGCGGGCACAACCGGAGATAGCCCCTTTGGGAAGCGGAGAGCAGGCGGCAATTCAGCTATGGCTCTGTGACCCTCACCCAGAGGGCGGGCTCCAACACGGGGCCAACATCATGTGAACAGTGTCCCCGGCAGCGAAGGCATCAAGGAGCCTGCATCAGGCTCCGTACACGAACTCGATTGATGTCAACGAAATCCTCGGCAAAACCACATTCCATTCCTGTTTCCATGATTATCTATTGCGTGAAATCATTAGTCCTGTTCGGCCCCCCTCCCCCGACACGGGGCAGCAATTCCCAAAAGTGGGGGCCCTTCTGGTCCACTCTCCCCTCAGTCACAAAACACCTACAATGTCCCCACGTCAACCGGAAAAAGGTCGAACCGCAGACTTCATCTCACAGCACATGGACCGCAGACGGTCACCTCGCTCCTGGTGACCGCCAGAGGTGTCGATCGCCAGTGTTACCTAAGGGATGACACCCGGGACGGTCCAGGCGGGAGTAAAACTTACTGATGAATTTGTGAAACTGACAGACGACGACGGAGTATCGATCCAGCACGAGTCCATTATGCGAGCCGCTAGCTCCCTATAATACCACCTGGATAGCGGCGGAAATCGATGGCCGCTCCTAATATTGATACAAAGAGCATTTTGCCCATAACAGAGCAATTAAAAATATGACAGATTATTCCGGCTGCCAGTTTATCCTGCCGGATGCCTCGTTACAGGTGAATCATTCGCTTTTCCTGATGTTCACTTCTGAAGGCAACAGGCTGTGTACAGTTTAAGCCATTTCCTGCCAGCGTGTCTTTAATCTAGAAGCCGTTTTCGCTCAGGTCCACATCCAATTCTCCCATTTTCCGGCTCGGATTTATATACCTGGGCCGGGATGAAGAATCGAAGCTGAAGACGTTTCTCGCATCGCCCTGGAGCGCCTGAGCGAACTGTCCGGATGAGACCGGACAAACTTCCCCGCTGAGTAATGTACCACAACAAGGGGATTATCAGATCCTTTATAACCCACAGCCACTCTCAGGGACGAAACAATGACGAACATCTGAGAGTGATTATCCCACAAAGGAGGCCATACACAGTGTACCCCACACACTGAGATCGCAGCTAATCCGATGTTCAGCGGAGCTCACGGCCCGACCTGCCACCTGCCCTCTCTGATTTCCGGACACGTTGGCGGTGGGGCTCGGATTCGAGGGCCCCTGTGGCACGGTGAAGGTGACGCTTTACGCGGAGGTCAGCGCCTCGGCCTGACGGGACAGCGACGGACGGCATTTATCTAAACGGCGCTTCTTTACTAACCGCTTATCCCTACAGGGTAGCCAGTCAAAGGTTTGGACACACCTACCCATAGAAAGGTTTGTTTGTACTGTTCTCTACATTTAACTATAAAGACATGCCCCTGTATGTAGTGTGTATGGCTGGGGTATGCCCCTGTATATAGCGTGTATGACTGGGGTATGCCCCTGTATATAGCGTGTATGGCTGGGGTGTGCCCCTGTATATAGTGTGTATGGCTGGGGTATGCCCCTGTATATAGCGTGTATGGCTGGGGTATGCCCCTGTATATAGCGTGTATGGCTGGGGTATGCCCCTGTATATGGCCCCTGTGGCGCCAGAGAAACAACATTTTATGGTAGCCACCTGGGGCCTGGAACACAAACATTTGTGGCGAGATGACAGTAAAGAATCTAGAATCTTGATTTTTTTTCTCCAGGAATCGCTAACAGTGATGTTCCACGTGGTCCAGTCATCGACAGCCAATCAGCACAGTGCCCTGAAGCATACACCATCCTCTTTTACGATGAAATGTAAACTTCAAAAAGCATTAATTGACATAAGTAAATAGAACATGTCATTTAAACAAAAACTAAACTAAACAACTCCAGGTTCTCAGGCAATCTGAGCCTCCTGGTTTTAAAACAATAGCATATTGTCTTGTTTTTTTTCTCTAAAGAGAAGCCAGGAATTAATGGCTGAGACTGACAACAAAAAATAAATTTTAGAATGTTTGTTGATAATGAAATAAATTAAAAATGAAAGTAAAAATAAAAGTAATTATACTAAAACTCAAATTAGATGACAAAACATGTCCTTTCCTGACTCTCGACTGTTTTACATTTGACTTTCTAATTATTGTTGGGATTTAATGTGTTGTTCAATCTGTCAATAGTAATTATTTCTCTTTTGGCCTCTGAATGCTTGTTTCATGCTAATATCCTTCTTTGCATGCGTTTTTTTCCAGTGAGAAAAAAAACTTGGCCAGCTAGTGACTCCCTGTCTACTGTATGCTATTTTAAACACGCATCAGTGGAAACACATTACACAGGCAATGTGTGCCAAATAAGATTATTATTATACATACGTTTAAAATTGAAATAGTTATGGGCTCGATATAGAACGGGTCTCATCTGGAAGTTCTGGGGAGCTGTGCAGATGAAAGATTCCGGAATGTTCAGGGGTAGAGGTGGCAAGGGCACAGCCGCACGTCGCGTCCATGAAGTCACTAAAAGATAGCTGCGAGGTCATGTGACCAGCAGGGTCATGTGACGAGGGGGGTCATGTGACGAGGGGGGAAGAGAGCGCCACGATGTCGTCAGTCAGCAGACTGACACCCAACTGAAGTGAACGAGTATTAAAACAATGCAAAAGAGACAGATTATTCAGTGTGGGGGAAAAAAATGCACTGACAGCAACAAGACAATAAAGCATCAAAATCGGTCAAATTCAAGTAAATTGCACTGTCCGCCCAGCAGTAATGGTGAAAAAACGCCAAAGACCTACACCTTCGTCATCATCAGCATCACGCACCCCCAGTGATCAAATGCTGACAACCAATCAATACCAGCCTACTTTATTAGCTTGCCTTCTGACTCCTCTATTAAGGTAAATGTTTTAAAGATGGCAGATGATTGGCTCCTGAAATTAATCAGGGAGGTACGAAAAAATCCCATTAGCGCGGATAAAAGCAGCCACAAAATGCAAAGACAGACGTTTGGGAGAGAACAGGAAATGGTCCTCTGATGGCCGTAAAGATAAAAAGAGACTAAATCTCATGACTGGGACACACAGGCCAAGGAGCAGAGGAGCTTCAGAGTAACTGACAATTGGTTAAGACGTTCGGGGAGAAGGGAAAGTCGTCTCCCGCGTGCGTAAAACCGTGAAGGATGAGCGTGACCCTACAAAGAGCCATACATCAAATGACGAAAAACCAGCGTAGCGCTTCTGACCTGCAGAGGCTCACGGCCAATGAGGAATTTCATTCCCGGCCCATTGAACGTAACAAAGTGATTGGCTGAATTAACACGATAGCTACACAGAGATACAACTTCTGAAATGTTATTATAGTTTCGCACGTCACATGTTCGGCTTGACTGACAAAAACCCACGAAAGGAGCTTATCACCAATGAGTGTCCACACACTAACTACCTGCAATGAATATGAATGAACATGCTACAATGCTTTACCAAAATGTTTAATAGCATCTATAATTAGCACAGGGGTTTCTGTTATCTGTCTAGGTTATATTTTTGTAAATGTACTCCTTTACTGCCTTGTGTGTTTTTTTGAACTAGATTCTCTGCATTCTGTGCAGTTTCTTTAAGCTGAAAGGTCTTCTTGTTCTCTGAAAAACGTCACTCCATTCTCCTGGAGAAACCTGCCAGTTCAGCACGCACACAATGACAGACAGGCATTTATATCCAAGCCTGCGAAAGGCTCGCTCTGCCGTTTTGCATCTTGCGGATTCTGTGGGGCATGTTTGGTGACGGACAGGTCCCATCACGTCCAATAGCAGGGGCATATACAGGGGCGGGGCCGCAGGGACACTGGCCCCGGCAGAAAGCTGATTGGCCCCCGGAGTGCCCACTCCCCTGTCACTCACCAATTCCAAACATATCATTGGCTAATGATTTGTTTGGCACGTTTATATGAATTATATCCACTCTTATTTCCCCCACCTTACAAAATCGTAGAATCGCCCCTGTCCAGTCAGACAGTACGTATTAGCCAAGGTTTTCTGCGCTTCTTCGACGGAGGCGCTGGAGACACATATCAAATTACCTCAGCCCGCCTCCCCAAGTCACACGCTGTCCAAACAGGAGCCGTGGTTCCCCGACCCCCTCCTGAGCACTGGTGGGAGTCCAGTGAAATTGAATAAGTGGAGGAGGACTGGAAAGCGGCAGGTTTCGGCTACTGACATTCTCCTTCCTGCAAAGCACCTAATGAGACTGTGATGACAGGAGGTCCAGGCGTTAGGAGGAACGGACACAAAACGGGGAGGCTGGCCACTGCATCCACGGCAGCCCATCACTGCCTCAACTAAACGAGTATAACCATTATTCTCTTCTTTAATCCTTCCTGCTTACTTAAGGGCAGAAACCATATTGTACTACTGCCTAAAAAGAAGCATCGTTCCATTTGGCTCCTTGTCCATCTGTCTCCAATAAGCAACCCAGCTGGACCAGCGATGATCTAGATCTTAACTCAAGCGGCATAAGACACAAACAGGAAACGGCCCAGTTCAGGCAAGAGTCCATCGCAGAGAGATAGATTATTTCGCCAAGTGGCGGGTGGCCTGTTACCCCATAATTTGCAGCAAGGCTCCTCGGGAAGGGGGATGGATTACATTCTCCACCTAAACCCAGGGGTTCCTGGCACCTCGGAGAGATAGTGCTTTAAAGTTGGAGGCAAATATGATCGAGTGCTTTACTTAGAGACTATTTACATTTGATTCGCCGGGACTTTTCTAATCAATCCGCAACAACCTGTTAACCAGCAATGATGTTTATCGCTACACAAGCGACACATCTGCTTGGGGCCCGGGGCCCCCTGTTGACCACAAGGAGGAGCCACTACACTAAATATTAAATACGATTCTTATTTAGGACATGATGAAGCAACAAGATCTTCTGACTCCACTCGCTACATAGTTCTTTGGGTTTTGAAGCATTTGGGATGTGGGGGGTGAGGAGAGGGCAAAGGGCCCCAAAGTGACTTTTTGAGTGGAGCCCCAGAAATAACAAACCTGACCAGCCCCCCCGCCCCCTACAAGATCCTTTCCATCCTAAATACCACAATTACAATGTTATTACTTTTTAGGTCCCGGGTATTTACATTCTGTCTTTCTGCATAATGCCTAACAAATACATTCCACTTTCGGTCCATGATAACATCCAAAAAGTCACATGACCACTGTGACCCCGGGAGGGGAATAAGCTGGGAAGTTATTGTTATCTGTGCTCAATCGGGGGTGAAATTTAACTGTGTACACTGCTCCTATCTAGCACTCCTGATCCTCCAAGGTGAAATTAAGGGTTTCAGTTTTTAAAATTGGATTCAGTGCTACAATTAAAAGATAATATATAGATAGCTTGGATAGGTGGAAAAAAATCAATACAGAGGGGAGGAATGAAGCAAAACAGATTGTCCGCCAGTGTATAAACGTGCCGCATGATATACATTTTAGAAGTCTCCGAATCTATCTGCAGATGCAGGAGAAATTAAACTTTAATAAAGCAGGAGATGTGTAATGCATTCAGCCATTTGCTGAAGTCCAGTGAAGTTGCCCGGTCAAAGTTGGGGCAATGCCAAAGCACGCAGGGCACGAGGTGAGGTCCGAGAGCAAGAGTGCGTCCGTCAGATGCCGTCACTCGTCATACATAAAGGGCGACTGAGATACTGTGATGAGGGAGCCAAAAAGGAAGAGCAGGCAAGGACAGATTCTACCCTGCAACCCTGGAGCTTAGCAATGTAAACACTGTGCTCTGATTCACTGCACCATCACGGCGCGTTCAGGATTTACACATTCAGCAGACTGCGGTCTTTTACACCAAGGTGACAGCTGCAGTTTTCCCCATAAGCGAATAGGGACATCACGGCTAGGAGACGGACATGAGGTGGGACATCTCGGGCAGCTGACGTGGGACCGCCGAGGGCTCTACGGGAACGCCTGACAATCCGGAAACTTTCCTCAGCACTGAAAACTTAATTTACCGGATGCGGTGCTAAACAGGAGAGGGAGTGGATGACATCCACACCCACAGAGAGCTCGACAGAGGCCACAATATTTCTGCAAGTGCGCTGCGAAGCAGACACGTCAAGCTTTAACCTTTAGCCAACCGCAGTCTCACCCAGGGGTGCCCAGCCTGGGGAAAATACATACATGGGACATTTTGCATATATTATAAAATCAGACCAATTGAAAGTGGCTCTGTAGATTTCTGCAGGGAACATATTCAAAATGGACCAGAGGCATAATCTTCAAGTGACATCTTTAAGAGCAATCAGTGAGGGAGGGTTACAGATGGTGTTTGGATCAGAAGGCCCCTTCTTACGGCTCCACATGCATTTCTCAAATAAAGCTGTAATCTGTCTGATCCCCCGCCATGATCCAGACTTGATAATCAATTTCGAATCAATGATGAGGTCAGGAAGGCTTACAGTTACAAGCAATGTGTTTGCTCGCTAATTTCCCTCATATTTACCTTATAACACCGAGGTCAAATTGACCAGCTGCTCTTAAACATATCAGTGGATGCCACACTCGATTATTAAGATCTCATTCTGCGGAAAACTGATGCATGGCTCTTTCACTTATGTCCTATTCAGTCTGGCCTAATACTAAAAAATGCAAATATTTTGCCTTTTCTTTGCCTTTACTATGATTATTAATTCTTAATCTTTACTTGGAAACAAGGTGCGGTGTTCATGAAGGTTATTAACTGAGTCAGCCACCTCTCACCGCCATATCACATTAACCTTACACTCAGCATAAACTTATTTAATACGCAGGTGTGCCCATGAGTAAAGTCCAACATTTTGTTACCCAGAGATCTTCAGCGATTCCACCTGCGTGTGCGAATGCTTCATCACATCTTGACTGAGATCAGAGTGAAATCTTAATCAAGCTCAGTTTG